TACTGCGGCCCTGAATCTGTAACTGTGAATGCGATGCGGACCTTGCCCTTAGAGTACTCCAGATGTAGTGGGCAGAAGTTGACAAAGGGAGTCCGGTAACCCCAGAGTTGTGCTGGGGGAAACATAGGACACCAGGATGCTCACTTTGTTGGCTGAAGATTTTAGAATGTATTTCCTTCTCAGTTATGTCTCACGAAGAGTTGGGCTTGTGTGTTGATCTTTCCTGGAGAGCCCGATGAGACCGTGTGCCTTGTGTCCATTTCAAGGATGGGGTGTGTTGCCCTGATCGTCGGTAATCCGCCTAGAGGATTTGCTAGCTTGCCACCTGTATTAGTCTGTTTGCATCCTGCTAATAAAGACATACCAGAGACTGGGTAATTTATAAAGAAAGGGGTTTAATGGACTCACAGTTTCATGTGGATGAAGGGGCGTCACAACCATGGCAGAAGGCTCTTACATGGTAGCAGACAAGAGAGAATGAGAACCAAGCGAGAGGGTGTTCGCCTTGTAAAACCATTAGATCTCATGAGACTTATTCACTACCATAAGAACAGTATGGGGGAAACTTCCCCTGTAATTTAGTTACCTCCCACTGGGTCCCTTCTACGACGCGTGAACATTTGTTGAGACTGAGGGGAAGGGCCTGTTGACCTCTAGAGGGCAGAGGCCAGGGATGCTGCCAGCCATCTTGCAATGCTCAGGGCAGCTCCTACAGCAAGGAAGTATGGCCCCAGCTGCTAATTGTGCCAGGAATGAGAAAGCCCAGGCTAGAAGCTTTCTTCCCTAAATTTCATCAGAAGTAACACTGATTATATATAGAAGCCTTAGGTGCTGTTTCCTAGTGAAGATATAAATTTAAGAGGATAAGGTCTGCACTTCTGATGATAAAATGTGAACTAGATCATCCATTTTGCAATTGTGCGCCTGGCTGTACCCCAGAGTAGCCTTGCTGTGTCCCCCTCCCTTTCCCTTGTGGTTTGTTAATGTTGGGGAAAACTGGTGAGGTCTAATTGGGCTTGGTTAAGTGAATTCCCAAGGGGAAGCCTCCTTGCTCCTTTGCTTTCTCAATGGTTGCTTTGTGTACAACTCCCCTCTGACTCTCCACTGGAGCCAACGTTATTGTATTCTCACCTGTTCAACAGGTTTTTCCTGAACGGCCTTTGAGAAATAAATACTAGTTAAAAGGGTAGAAAAACAAGCGTGGCCTTTGATTCCTAAAAGGTTAGATGACCTCTTTTGCTGTAATTCTGGATGATTTTATGTACAGGTGGGGGCAAGGTGCTTTAAATGCATTCTTATTTTTATTATTTACTGTCTTAACCCCCAAGATGGTGTATGCTTTCTTTTGAATAGTGTTACCTAAAATTCACAGAGTCTTTCTGCACATTAGAGCCTGCTTTCTTAATTCTTATTCTAGGGTATGTAATTGAACTTGGATCTCGAATTGAAGTAATGTAGCACAGATATAATGCATTGTTCTTAGAGCTCTCAAGTATTCAAAGAGCATACAGACTATGGAGAGGAAGTTGGGAGTACAGATTGTTTGCTTGCATTTGCACATAGCAGACACTATAATTACTTAACAAGTCCCTATTGTTGAATATTCAATTGTTTTCAAGTTTTGAGAATTACAAACAAAACAGAAATTGGCATTGCTGTGGTTAATAATTATTTCTTGAGGATAACATTCTAGAAAATTGAAATTACTCAAAGAGGATGCAAAATTTTAAGGCTTTTCGTATAGTTTGCCAAAGGCCCTCTAGAAAGCTGTGCTGATTTACACTCTGAATAGGCGTGCAGGGACACACAGCTTCCTTCTTTAGAAGTCGCAAACCAAGAGGTATGGTGGAAGTTGTCCAGGGGATCAGGAGTATGGAAAACTGAACCTACCAAGGATAACCCCCCCGTTCTCTGAACACATTCTCTTCCTATTCTTGCCCTTCATTTCAGCAAGTACCCTGTTTCAGGAACGTAACAGGGCATGCTCCTCCCTTGGGGCCTTTGCTCTTGCTGTTGTTTTGGCCTAGAAACTGATTTCTCCAGATGTCCACAGGTCTCCCATCCTCACCTCTCTGATGTCTTTTTTTTTTTTTTTTGAGACAGAGTCTCGGTCTGTTGCCCAAGCTCATGTGCAGTGGTGCGATCTTGCCCCCCTGCAACCTCTGCCTTCCGGGTTCAAATGATTCTCTTGCCACAGTCTCCCGAGTAGCTGGGATTACAAGCACCACCACGCCTGGCTAATTTTTGTATTTTTTAGTAGAGATGAGGTTTCACCATGTTGGCCAGGCTGGTCTTGAACTCCTGACCACAAGTGATCCACCCGCCTCAGTCTCTCAAAGTGCTGAGATTACAGGCGTGAATCACCACATCTGGCCTCAGATGTCTTTACTCAGATGCTGCCTTCTCGGTGAAACTTTCCCTGATTTTCCTGTTTAAAATGGTATTCCTGCCCCTCCCACACTGGTAGAGGCACAGGCTTCAGTTTCCTTCCCTGCTTGATTTTCCTTCATATCCTTTGTTGCTAACTCCCAGATTTGCTGCTCTATATCCCCAGCACGGGGAATAGACCTGGCACTGAGCAGAGGCTCAATAATTATTTGTTGAATGAGTGACTAAACCAGTGCTTTGTAGATTTGCTCTTGCTGGTTACCACTGATTAGCTTCTCAGCAGGCTTCCCTAATCGTCTTTGGTCAACGGAGTAGCGGTTTTGTTTTGGTTCATTTCCTTTACTTGTCAGCTGCACTGAAGTTAGTTATTTATATAACTGCTGGTGGTGGTGAGAATTCCATTAACTCTGCTATCTCTGTTGTCTCAGTAATGTCCAGCTACTGCTGAGATCTGGGATAGTAACTGACAAGGCTTACTCTGGTCTGATAAAGGACCAAATGCACATGTTTAAGATGTTCATTACAGATACAAATTTCTCAAAAAAGACAAGAGAACCCGATAGAAAAGGGGCAAAGGTTTGGACTGTTCACAAAAAGGGAGCGTGTGTCTTTTCCTCTTTATGTTCAACCTCACAATAAGAGAAATAGAATTTAAAAATAGATTAAGATTTTATTTTTCAACCTGTCAGGTTTGCAAAAGTTCATTCTGTTAGTGAGGCTGGGTATAAATAGGCCACATCATACAAGTCCAATGGAGAGAAATTTGGAAATGGCTATCAATATTAACTGCATCTGTGCTTTGACCCAGCAGTTTTACTTCTGTGAATCTATTGTAAGGATGTACCTGCATATGTGCAAAATTAGTTAGATATAAGTTTATGGATCATAGTTTGGTTTATGATAAGTAAACTTAAATCACCCAGTGGTCCACAGCAGGGGACTGGTTCATCAAATAGGACACATCTGCACAATGAACTACTATGTAACTGTAAAAAGAATCAGGATGCTCTCTTTGTACTAACATAGAAGGATTTAGAAAATATACTGAAAGAAACAAAAAGAATGCTCCCTTTTGGCCAGGCACAATGGCTCACACCTGCAATCTTAGCACTTTGGGAGGCTGAGGAGGGCGGATCACCTGAGGTCAGTAGTTTGAGATCAGCCTGGCCAACATGGTGAAATGCTATCTCTACTAAAAATACAAAAATCAGCCATGTGTGGTGGTGTGCGCCTGTAATCCCAGCTACTTGGGAGACTGAGACGGGAGAATCACTTGAATCTGGGAGCTGGAGGTTGTCTTGAGTCAAGATCATGTCCCTGTACTCCAGCCTGGGCAACAGAGGGAGACTGTCTCAAAAAAAAAAAAAAAAAAAAAAAAATGCTGCCTTTTATATAAAGAAAGTGGAAAAGAAATAATGTATTTTTGTATTTGCCTTCTATACTTGAAGAAATTCTGGAGGGATACCTAATCACTTGGATAACTGGAAGGATAAGGAGTGAAAGCAGATATTGGGCCGGCGGGTGACATTGGGAGAAGAGACTCTACACTGTACTTCTTTGTACACACAAACACACAAGTTTGTATCACATGATTGTTAACAAAAAAACTAATTTTAAAAAGAAATGGGGCCAGGCCAGGTGGCTCACACCTGTAATCCCAGCACTTTGGGAGGCCGAGGTGGGCAGATCACCTAGAGTTCAAGACCAACCTGGCCAACATGGCGAAGCCCTGTCTCTACTAAACATACAAAAATTAGCCAGGCATGGTGGTGGGCCCCTGTTATCTTAGCTACTCGGGAGGCTGAGGCAGGAGAATTGCTTGAATTTTGCAGTGGGCCAAAATTGTGCCACTGGGCAACAGAACCAGACTCTGTCTCAAAAAAAAAAAAAAAAGAAAGAAATGGGCTAGCCTGGGAAGAGGCCGCAGAGGATAATGGTTGCCTCCTTTGTGTAAGAAGCACGATTCATTCAAGTGAGAATTCAGAGTCTGTTCTGAATGCCATCCAATCCACAGCTGTACATTTTTCTGCCCCGCCCCCCCACCGAAGGTGCATTGTGGGAACTGACCTTGTTGGGGGAGTATGAGTGTGCATGTGTGTGAGCTCTCAGGGTGTTTCTCCTTCATGATATCCTGGTTGCTATAGTGCGGAGATCTATTTGTGACACGCAGAAAACACTTTAAAGAAACACTGCTTCCTGACCATGACTTCCTGGGCAATCTGTCCTTCCGGAGACTGTTGAGCGCCAGACGTTTACATGCATGTCTGGACAGAGAGTGAGCCTGGCTCATTCAGACCCTGGGCACCATTCGGAGCAGAACTCAGTGGTAAGGAATAGCTTTCTTTCCACTGAAGATTCACACAAGCCGTGCCCCACAGGGCAGCGTCTCCTGGCGGCTTTGACTCAAGGGCGTTGGCACGGGTACCCCCATCTTTCTTCTTTCCTCAGGAGCCCGTCTTACCGTTGGCTGTGCCCCTCACCTCCAGCACCCAGGCACCAAGGGGAGCCGTTTTTCATATCAAACCACCATGAAAACAGGAAGTGATGAAGCAAAATTCACCCTGCATCGGCACTGAGTGACTTCTCTTTCTTTTTCTGTCATTCCTCATTAGGTATAGACACGTGTGGCCGTTTACACTGTAGGATCCCCAGTCCCACTGGCTTTGAACATTTTGGGGGCTTACAATGCCGCCACCCGCGGACATCGTCAAGGTGGCCATAGAATGGCCGGGCGCCTACCCCAAACTCATGGAAATTGATCAGGTTAGTAACGTGACAGCCTTGGGTGTTTATTTTCAGTTTCCTTTCTGTATGGGAATTTTCATAGACTTTGGATAGTTCGCTCTTCTCCCTTTCTTCCTCTAGCTGTGTTGAAAAATCTGTGCAGTAATAGTTGCAATGTAGCTTGATCTCTGTAGCACATATAATAGTGATGGATGGAGTTTTTATACTCTTCCAGCATCCACTTGGATTGTGTCAATGCAGGATTTGTGTCTGAAGCTGGGAAGGAGGTGGGAGGGACAAGTGGATCGGGCCCTGGGCAGTTGACACAGTGGAGGCTGCCCCATCCCTGCCTTGCCATGACACATGAATATGTGCAGATTGTTGGAACACAGGCAAGACAAAACTTAATTTTTAAAATCACTTTTTTCTTCATTTTTCGCAGAAGCAGCGAAATGCACTGATACTTTGTTACATTAATAGTTTTATAATGAAATTAGTATAGAGGGGTTCAGTCTTGGATTTCAGCCAATTGTAATTTTTATTTTTAGTGTGAAATTCACTATGTGTCTAGCATATTGTCTGCCATGAAGTAAATACTCAACAAATGTTTATTGAATTAAAAAATATCAAGAAGACTTATAAAAGTGGTTTGACCCATAAAGACATCCTTTAACTTGAGTCTTGAGAATTGTATGGTGTGATTCTCATGCACTATTTGATTATAGGTTATCTCGGAATGGTTCATTTTGTCCTCACTTTACTGTAGTCATTCAAGAGCAAATGATTTAAGAAATAAAAGGTTGGGACCTAATATACTTACGGGTTTTATAATGTATATAATACAGGGTTCTAGATGGCTTTCTACATTTTCAAAATTATAGTACCATGGCAACTCCAATCTTTATGTTCTCTATGCTATTTTACGATTATGATTTACAATTTTTTTCCTGATCAGATTTTATTATCTGGTGGCAGATCAATGCAAGAGTTATATGGAATTGTGTGAATCCAAAGGAATCATTAAAATGAATTATACGGGTCAGATCAGAATTAATTGAACTTAAATGTAAGAAAGGATAAATTTTTGGGATTTTTGTCAAAAAAGCTGTCATCAGACCACACATCATTGTCATTTTAACTGCTGTCTGAGGTAGTTTTCTAGTGATTCAAGAAGCAACCTATACAAATAGAGAAGAGTAGAGATGCCTAATGGTTTCGGATACTTTTGAGTCAGGCAACAGATGCTTATCTGCTTTCATGTGTGGTTTGAGATGCTAGTTAAAATTTACCTTAAGAAAATGTTTGGAGATACTTGGTGCAGACTAAATGTAGTTTGGATTAGGTTTGGCCACAGCCTGAGAGACTGATGGCTTCAATGAGATAGAAGTTGGTCTCAGGCCGGGCGCGGTGGCTCAAGCCTGTAATCCCAGCACTTTGGGAGGCCGAGACGGGCGGATCACGAGGTCAGGAGATCGAGACTATCCTGGCTAACACGGTGAAACCCCGTCTCTACTAAAAATACAAGAAAATTAGCCGGGCGAGGTGGCAGGCGCCTGTAGTCCCAGCTACTCGGGAGGCTGAGGCAGGAGAATGGCGTGAACCCGGGGGGCGGAGCTTGCAGTGAGCCGAGATCCGGCCACTGCACTCCAGCCTGGGCGACAGAGCCAGACTCCGTCTCAAAAAAAAAAAAAAAAAAAAAAAGCTGGTCTCACACACGTGTAGAGGTCCTGAATGCCCTGCAGTGGCATGCACTCGGGCCCTCTGTCTTGTTGCATTGCCCTTCTCAGTCTGCGGGGCTTTGGATCACATGCTTGGGCATCACCTGAAAGAACATTAGAAATGCAGAATCTCTGGTCTTATTCCAGACCTCCTGACCGAGTCTGCATTTTAACAAGATCCCCAGGGTATCCCTGTGCGTAGTTCAATCTGAGACTTGCTGAGCTAGATACCTGGTGCCCAAGCCCGGGTACTCATCAGAACTACCCAGGCACTTACTCGAAATAACTGTTTCCAGTGGTCCCATCTCAGGAGACTCTAATTTAGTGGTTCTGGTAAACTATTTAATTTTGATTCTGCCAGGGTCAGTGCAGTTTGAAAACCTCTGCTTTAAGACAGCAGCTCTTAATAGACAGTCCTCCTTACCTGTGAGGTTTATCTGTTTATTTTGGAATAATTTTAGATTGACAGAAAGCTACAAAGATTGTGTATGCTTACATTTATACCCTTTTTCCAGTTTCCCCTCAGGTTAACATCTTAATCTTGTTACGTTAGTCAAAACTAAGAAATTGACGTTGGTACATTACATTAACATAACTACCAACTTTATTTGGATTTCTTCAGATTTTCCACTAATGTCCTTATGCTGTTTGAGGATCTAATCCAGGGATACCAATTGTCATGTTTCCTCAGTCTCCTTCCATTTTGGACAATTTCTCAGTCTTTCCTTGTTTTTCATGGCCTGATAACTTTGACAAGTACTTGTATGTTGATACAATTTTAAACACACAAAAATTGCAAGGATAGTACAAAGAACTCTGTACCTACTTTTCCAGAACCATCTGATGGAGCCTTGGAAGCACCATCCCCCTTCACCCCTGAACACTCAGTGTGTATGTCTTAATATCGTAACCATTCTCTTACATAATAATCACAATACATTTCTAAAACCAGAAATAAATTGAATAGTGGTATAATGCTATCGTCAAATTCACAGTTTGTAATCCATTTTCAAATTCCATCAGTTGTCCCAATAAGGTCCTCTATAGGGCCTTATTTTCTCTATGGTGTAATATCCCATCCAGGATCATGTAGTATGTTTATTGTCAGATCTCTTTGATCTCCATTGATCTCTAGAAATTTCTCAGTCTTTACCTTTTGTGACCTTGACGTTTTTGTAGAGTACAGGACAGCTGTTTTAGAAAAAGTCTTCAGTTTGGGGTTCTCTTACATATCCTACTGATCAGATTCGAGTTTTGTATTTTTGGCAGAAATGTAGAGAAATGACGTGTCCTTTTTGGCTCATCATATCAAGAGGTACATGATGTTGCATTATCTGATTCTTGGTGATTATTCTGATTTTACAGATGACAAGTGTAAACAATTGCTTAAATTTTAGGCCTCCTGTTAATCACATATGGAAACCTAGACAGACAGTTAGGAACCCAGACTCTTGCCCTGCAGTTGCCGGAATTACAGTGAGACTTATGGAAGTGTTGCTGTCAGATGTTTCTTGATTGAGTCAGAAGTTGGCATGAGAATTAGAAGTATGTTTTCACATGCAATGAAGAATAGAAGAAATGACCATTACTTAGGTTTTCTCCTTACCTTCTACCTTGTTCAGTAAAGATCACATAACCTGCCTCTCTCTCTGTCATAGCATGTTAGCTTCATTTAGAAAGCTCTTTGCTTCTTTTTATCCTGGATAGCTGCTATTTCACTAAAAACCATTTCCAAAAGTTGGGTTAAGCACTGCTGCTCTATTGTCTTCCAAAAGTTTGGGTGCCCCTCCACTTACCACATTGTGTTGTGCTTGTCTATCAACTGAACCCAGTGGTCCTCAGCCTTGAGTGTGTACAAGAAGCATCCAGTGAACTTATACAATATGCATATACCACCTTGTGCAAAATGCAGCCCCAGCCGCAGAGATTGTGATTCTGTTGGCCAGGGACAGGGCCTTTCTTCTGCATCTGTGATAAGCACCAGATGAATCTAATCCAAGGGCTTCCACAGTTTGAGAAGCAGTCATTAGACTGGGAACTGCCTGTCTTTGACTGTGGTTTCTCCTTGCCTGGTGAACAGTCCTTAAAATGAAAAGATACTTCATGAATGAATCACTAGGAGGAGGCGCTTCCTGAGTAGTGATTATCTTATCAGGTACTCAGTTCTGCTCAGCCACCCTCCATCAGTGCCTGGAGTTGTCAGAGGGACGTCTGCCCATGATGGACTTGTTTCTCTTCTTTCTAAATATTTAGGAGAAAATTCTGTGTTTCCACTCAGCAGGAAAACCCCCCAGGAGCTTCTTACACATGGACTTTGCTGTATCACGGGGAGGTCTGAAAAGAATTACCAGCTCACTGGTTCCTGACTCCTGCTCTTGCCTTCACAATGTATTGTTGAATTTCAAGCTTGGGGGGCCACTTGAGGCTGAGGATGTTTGTTGTCTGGATACATCAAGGCTCCTGCATCCACTGTTCTTGTTAACTTATTATGTCCTGAATAATGTATGTGTTTCTTGGTCAAGAGTCTGGAATCCCAAACACTTCGATAAGCAGCATCTAGTAAGAGGCAGTGTGGCAAAAGGGGCAAGTATAGGCTCCAAGGACATTTAAACCTGGATGCGAGCACTTGTTTTAGTTCCTTCAGCTGTTATAACAAAGTACCTTAAACTGGGCAATTTACGAACAACAGAAATTTATTGCTCACAGTTCTGGAGGCTGGGAAGTCAAGATCAAGGCACAGTGGATGTGGTGTGTGATGAGGGCTTGTTCCTCATAGATGGTACCTTTGTATGGTTCCCCGTAGGCAGAAGGGGCGAACAGGCTCTGTCAAGCATGTTTTTATACCACTACCATAGGGGCCAGGTTTCAAACAGGTGAATTTTGGGGAGACACAAACATTCAGACCATAGCAGTCCTGGAGCCCTGCTTTCTGTGAAAGTCTCAGCCTTGTTGAGCCTTAGTCTTTTTGGGATATTAATTTGCTACTTTGATGGTCCTTGTGAAGATTAAAGAAAACATGTGAAAAGAATGTAGCATGTTGCATAGTTTAGAGTGATTCCTTAATAAAGGCAGCCATTATTGCTGTTAGTTTAAGCAAATTCTCATTAGATTAGAAAATTAGGTACTCTGGTTTTCCTTTTCACCTGCAGTTCCATTTAAACAGTTGCCCTCTGTTCTCATTCTTTCTCTGACTAACTTTTTACATGTTTAGGAAGGAGACAAAATTAAAAGATAAGTGGGAGGCATCCTCTGGTAATAAAGAGGTGTCCTGACTGGACACATAGCCAGTTTGTGCTATGGAATACTCACTGGCTCCCTAGT